TAAAGTGAGATACAGTACGCTGGATGTACAGCGACTTTGTTAAGATCCAATGTCACGATATCATACTACTGTGCTAAATAAGAGACAATGTAACATTTACAAAACATCACCATGTTGTTATTTAATAACAAAATAATGTTGTTTAGATCGAAAAAAAAACGAACGGGAGGCAAATGCATGCCCGGCCTCGATTTTTAATCCTAATTTAATCATCATCTTCATTCACCACTATCATTTTATTTTTATGTCGCCAAATTGACAATGAAATCACTGACACATATGAAATATACTGTATTCAACTTCATTAAAACGTTATTAACGTGCCTAAACTAAGTAATTCACAAAAAATATTTATATTTTAATGGAGCTCGTCGGCACATCAGGATCCCAACGCGTCAGCGGAGGGATCTTGAATAACAATGAAGGGTGTTATTTTGCCCATAAGGAACAAGTCGGCTGCAAATTACCCGCTTATTTACACGGCCACATTCTCAACAAAAGTAACGACATGACTTCCCACTATTAATTGAAATGCTTTTAATGGATTTAGAAATATGTTTTTATTGATTTTAAAAAATTGTTGTATGTATTGATTTAAAATTGACATGCATCCCGCTAAGAAAAAATAGTCCGTTGTTACCGTTTTTTTAAACAGTCTGAATGAAACGGCAGCTTCTCAAGCTGTGTATTTTACACAACTAATGGCCCATCAACCACAGCTCTCTCCCCCTCACCCCCTTGGTCTTTCTTCTACAGCAGCTAAATTATAAGTGCGATACTACTTGAGTGACAAGCTTACAGATAGACACAACACTGTCATTGCAAGTGACCCTCAGTTAGTTGACTTTTATGTTCAACTGCTAAATTCGTTACTGATAAAAAAGGGCTTCTACTGTACCTAATTACCTTAACACTAGAACCGCCAGAGGTTTTTGTATAGGCCTACCAAAAACCGTCAAATCCCGCTATTAGAATGCAATTTTTAACAACATAGGGTGCTACATAACACACTTTCAGGAAAAGTCACGGACTGGGAGACTTTAATATTTTATTGAAAAAAAGTTACATTGCACACACACAACACACATCACACAAATTGACCCGATTGGCGGTTCTAGTGTTAAAAAAACTCACTAATGAATGAAACCAGTTCAATACGCATTATTCTTATTCTTATCATTCTTTATGAGCGCAGAAATAGTCTTAAAATCAGATCTGTTTTTTAAATGAAATCTGACGGCAGGCAGTTAGCTCTGATCACCTATGATAAATGCGCCACACTTAATCGCTGGCCATTCAGCCACAGAGCTCCCTCTATACAAATCAAACTGTAGACGGTGTGAAAGCACCTATTGTTTTAAATAATGGTTGGAATGTGACCTGTGAGCCTTCTGAATTACCGTGGGACAGCACATTCTAAACTAAAATAAGTAACATCTTATCTTATCTTAATAATATCTTCATATTAATAATAATAATAATAAATCATACAGTATGTGTCCGAAAGGGAGCAGGAGGAA